GGGGTGCGTTAGCCGCCGCTTCCCAGCCCTCTGCCCTTCCGTGGAATGTGCCGAGGTTGGAAGTTAGGCACCTGGGAGGCTTTAACTGGCTTTCATCTCTTGGAGTTTGAAAGGCGGGTACCTGCCTGGCTTTGTTTTGGGAAGCTGGATCTGCCGCGGAGTCCTGGCCGCTGGCGTTCAGTTTCCTGGGAAGCTCTCACTGCTGTCTTGTTCGCCCAAGCACCCGCCTTTTGGCCTAGTTGATCTCTACACAGCAGCGTTTGAGCTTGGAAGTGGTGTAGCCTATGCTTTATTTACTGCAATCATGTCATTCCCCAAATTTGAAATAATCGGTTTACACTTTTTTTTTTTTTTTAAATGGCGGGGGGATTCAGGGTGTTGAACAAATACACCTGGATACAGTAGAGAGGGAGAGCTACGGGTAGGAATAAACAGCTGGAGACAGGAGAAAAAGTAAGACTGTTCCTTTAGATGGCAGTGCCAGTTCTGTATCAGTTTAAAGGGCTTGTTGGAACGACACACTATATTGCTTGAAATAGTCATTAAATGCTATGCTATCAGAGTGCTTTTAAATTTCACGGGCTTTTCTTCCGTATGACAGGCAAGCCTATTTCTCATACATGTATACGTTGTAAATACTCTTCTTCAAGGGGAAGTTTCAAGTCTGTGGCCCTGGAATACAAGAAAACGCTAACAGTTTTCCTTTGGAGTGAAATTTTCTATTGTCTCTCGCTGCGGAAGACACCCACTTAAGCTGTGAATCTGTTGAGCTGCAGCCTTTAGTTGTGCCCTGCATCAAATTTTTACTGCCGTTAACAGTCAGATATGGAAGCTGTACTGAGGAGGAGGAGTGTTGAAACAGGGGATGCTGAGAGACAGAGGAGAACATTCTCCCTCACAGAAAGGTGTCTGTGGCCCTGGAATATTGATTCATTGCATTTTATCTCAGTTGGTGGTTTGCTGAATAGATAGGATAGCCAATAAATGTTATTCTGGTGCTCTCTTGATTTTGTAGCTATTTGGTGAGCAGTCGTGCCTCTTGTATTGAAGTATGGTGTGCTACCTTGTGGTGTGTAGCCTAGTATGGAGTGTGAGAGAAAAACTAAAAATCTGACTTTCATTAATCTTCTAGATGTTGGGGAAATCTATTCAAGACTACTGGATCACAGACCAGTAATTCAGGGAGAAATACGTTACTTTGTTAAAGAATTTGAAGTAAGTATTTGTATCTTATTGTGTGCTGTAACCTTCACAGTCTGAGACTTTAAGCAATCTTAGCATCTTTTTAGAGGTTATAATATGTATTTAATTTGCTTCAGAAAGATCTGACATGCATTTCTTGCCCAAAATGACTAACACACCTGTAGTATAGGTCTGCATCTTTAGTAAATAAGGCAGTAATTTAGGTCTTTTTATTTAAAAAGTTTTGAAAAGGGTATAAATACTTTTCCTGCAAAAGACTGGCAGGAATATTGGTGTAGGAGAATGATGTAGTCCTGACATCTTAGAGAATTCTAGTTGGTTCAAGGGAAATAATTGTTGGCCAGTACAGGATTATATCTGATTAAGAAGCTGGTTTGTGCTTCAGCTGGATTCAGCTGGCCCAGTTGTAATTTAATTTTGTTTTAATTTTTGTTCTGTGAAAGAAAGTAATACTACTGGAAGAAAAGAGCAACACTTTATGCAAAGTAAGAAAATCATTAAAAATTGAATGAATGTTATCTGACTGGCTGCAAATAAGGCTAAAGTACTGAAGGTGTAAAAGTGTTTATATACAGCTTTGGAAAGTGTAATATGGTTTCCACAAGATGGCAGCAAAAATTTAGAAAAGTAGAATCATGTGTCAACAAAAGACTATTTTTAAGAGTAGATTTTCATTCTTAGAGAATGTGGCATTTAAAGTCTTAAAATTAGTTCTGAAAATGTAGTTATACCTCAAAATTCTAGTGTGCAGAGCTGGTTTAAAGAAAAATTACATTAAACTGTATTCCCACACCCAGATTGTAGCTAATATTTCAACCAGGTCTAGTTTGTCTCCAGGCTGGTCTACCAAAAGAAGTACATGAACTAAACTCTCATCAGATCTGTATCGTGTGGGCTTGAGAGTCACAAGGAATGATTTCTTTTCTTTGCCTTCCCTAAGTAAGTTATAGCAGAGAGTAAATAATTTTACATGGCTTTTCATAGGAAGGAAAATTTTAAACTCAATTGCAAAATTATAACTAAATTCATACATTTCTTTCATCACACTCAAGGTCTTGTTCTATTTCTTAGACAAATTTCATATATTCTTAGATCTTTGCTTGAAATTTACTTTCTGGTTTATACTTTTAGGGGGGGAAATAGCAAAGCAGAGGATTATTTACATTCTTGCAACTTAGAATTTCTTCCAAAAATTACACTTGTTTCTAACTTCGAGATATCAGATATTTTTTGGTAGCAGTAGCACATATACTTTTTCTTTCAATGATTAGCGTCATGCTAAATGTAAAGAATGTACATTTGCATTCAGGAAGTCTGGAGCCTGTTTAATTAAGTGACTTGACTTGTCTGTACCTCAGTTTCTGAAGGTTTAAAATTAGTATGATGATCCAATTGCCCACTTCATTTGATGCAGGTTTTTTTAATTATTATTTAGAATTGCTTTATGATTAACAACTTTCAGTACAGGAATGCTTGTGTGCAACTGCTCATAACTGAAGAAGGGAAAAAGGGGGAAGGAGGCAGGTGGCAGGCTGGAGCAGATTCTAGAATACTTTTCATTGTCTAAAGGAAAGTGAAGGTGAAATTCAGAATGGAAGTGATGCTGTTGCTTCAGACAAATAGATTTTTTAATTTTTTTTAATGTAAACAATAAAGCAAGAGCTTTTTCATCTTGTAATTAATAATGATCATCAGTGAGCCAGGAGAAGGGCCACCTCTTTAGGCAAGTGTGTTACGTTATCTTTTAATCTTGACTTCATTGCTTTGCTTCAGTAAAAGCAATTTTACTTGCATTGTTTTAACCCCATACCATGCTCAACCTGGAAGGTCAGACATCAAGCAAGCAGAATCAATGCTGTGTTATTTCTCTGTAACAACTGAGTTATGAAAATGCAGTGCTTTCAAGCTCCGTTTCTCTCTGTTGTTTTTGATGTGCTCTAAATTACCTATACAAACTAACACATTTTTCTGAACAATGTTTTTATTAGTAAATGCAAACTTTTCTCACAAGGACCAGAAGGATCATTCAAAGTATTCCTGTATTTTAATGTGAAGAATGGCGCATTACTCTTTTTACAAAACTTATTTTATCAATTGTGCTAAATAAGTAGAGTAACACTTTAATAGTCAGGGGTATGGGGTATAGTCTTTGAGATAAAGGTATTAGTTTATTAATTCGGAAACCATCTTATTTTGGATAGTGGAGTTCCTTGTTAGCCACTCATTTTCTTTCAATTCTTCTGGCAGGAAAAACGTGGCCTCCGAGAACTACGAGTACTTGAAAATCTAAAGAACACAATCTTTGAAACAAATGAATATGTTCTTCCTAAGTGTGAGCAGGCAATGCATGACAATCTGAATGAAGCATTCAAGAGATGTAAGCAAGTTGCTTCTTATTTCGCTTGCTGTTTCATTTTGAGGGAGAATATAAATAGTTTGGGTTCAGAATATGATTTGTAGAAAAATTACCATCCTTGGATAAATTTTCTATGACTTACGTGCTTTGTTTTCATTTCTGTGGCATTTTAAAAGCTAAACAACAGGGACATTTTTTGCTATTTATTGGTCCAGCCAACACAGCTCTTGCTAAGGTTACATTAAAGCTTTTTGTTGTCTTAAGTAGAAGCTATTTCAGCTCAATCTTTTACAACACACTTAGAAACAGGATAGTGCTCCATGTTGGCTAAAGCCATGGACAAAATTTCGGTTTTCTGGTTTGTTGCAAGCATGCTGTGGTGTGACCTTCAAGTTTCTTAATTTTCTCACAGGAGAGCATAATACTGTCCCTCATGATTTATAACAAAATTTGCTGGTGTATAGCTATGAAATGTGCTATTATTATAATTATCTTTAGTCACAAATAGGGTAGTAGTAATAATTCTTGTACGCTAATCCTAGTTTCGTAGTTATAACTATCTAATATACTTTTCATTGCTCAGATTTGAAAAGAGTTTAAAAATTTGTGGCATTAATTTTTCAGTATCTTTTTTTTTACTTATTCAGCAGGATAGCTTCTCAAAAAGATGTTTCAGGGGAGAGTGGCTATATAGCTTTAGCTACCAAATTTATGCAGTTGAAACATGCCACTGTGGGTTTTGTTATATTTTCTGTATAGCATGTTGTATAAGCATTTCATTTCATATAATGTCTGCATATGTCAGATGCCATATAAATAATAACAAATGGTAGATGATGTTATACACACAAAACAATTGCAGGATAATATTTGAAACTTAAAATTTAGTCATGGAAATAAGGCATATGTTCTAATACGTTCTAAATGGAGTGAACCTTTGATACTACTCCGTGACTTTCTAATGGTCAGTTGTGCAATACATCATTAGTAATAGAATCACAGAATGGTCGAGGTGGAAAGTGACCTCTGGAGGTCATTTTGTCCAACCTCCCTGCTCAAGCAGGGGCAGCTAGAGCCAGTTTCCCAGGGCTATGTCCAGTTGAGTTTTGAATATCTCTACAGATGGAGATTCTACAACCTCTCTGGGCTACCTGTGCCAGTGTTTGACCACCCTCACAGGAAAAAAGTGTTGTCTTCTGTTCAGATGGAGTCTCATGTGTTTCAGTTTGTGCCTATTGCCTCTTTTTGTGGGAGTGAGCACTATAGAGAAGAGCATGGCTCCCTCATCTTCATTTCCTTCAATCAGATATGTATTCATATTGATGAGATCCGCCCCCGGGCCTTCTTTCCTCCAGGCTGAACAGTCCCAACTCTCTCACCCTCTCCTCATATGAACAATGCTCCAGTCCCTTAATCGTCTTTGAGGCCATGTGCTGGACTTGCCAGTCTACCTCTGGGGATCCCAGAAGTGGACACACTACCACAGGTGTGGCCTCACCAGTGCTGATCGCCTCCCTTGACCTGTTGGCAATGCTCTTCCTAATGCAGCCCAGGATGCTGTTGGCCTTCGTTTTTTGCTGTGAGGCTGCATTGTTGGTCCTCAGTGTGTATTGCTGCCTGGCATTATTCCTCCCCAGGTGCAGGACTTGTCATTTCCCCATGTTGAACTTCATAAGATTCCTCTCAGCCCAATTCTCCAGTTGCTCAAGGTCCCTCTGAATAGCAGCACAACCATATAACCTGTCAGCCACTTCTCCTGGTTTTGTATTGTCTGCAAACTTGTTGAGGGTGCACTCTGCTCCAGCATCTGGGCCACTGATGAAGATGTTAAACAGTATCAGCCACAATGCTGACCTCTGGAGTAAACCACTAGTGACTTGCCTCCAACTTGACTTTGTGCTGCTGATCACAGACTCTAGACTTGTCTGTTCAACCAGTTCCCAATCCACCTCACTGTCCACTTACCTAACCCATACTTTGTTAGCTTGTCTATGAGGATGTTGTGGGAGACGGCGTCAAAAGCCTTACTGAAGTTGAGGTAAACAACATTGCCTGCTTTCCCCTCATCTGCCAAGCTAGTCACTGTGTTGTAGAAGACTGTTGGGTCAGTTAAGGATGATTTCCCATTCGTAAATGCATGCTGACTACTCCTGATGACCTTCTCCTTCATGTGTTTGGAAATGCTTCCAGGAGGGTTTTTCTCCTCACCTTTCCCAGGATTGAGGTGGGCTGATTGGCCAGTAGTTCTCCAGATCTTCCTTCTTGCCCTTCTTGAAGATGGGAGTCCAGTTTTCAGGAACCTTTCCCAGTTTCAGTCACTTTTCAAAGAGAGAGAGTGGCCTCGCAGCAACATCAGCCAGCTCCCTCAGTACTCATGAATGCAACCTGTCAGGCCCAGTGGACTCAAATATTTCCAGTTTGTTTAAGTGCTCCCTAAGCTGGTCCTCCTCCACCAAGGGTAAGTTGTCTTTGCTCCAGACTTTCCTCTGGTCTCAGGGGCCTGGGATTCCTGAAGGCTGGTGTTTATAATAAAGACTACGGCAAAGAAGGCATTGAGTACCTTGGCCTTTTCTATGTTCTTTGTCACCAGCTCCGTGCCCCATTCAGCAGAGGGCCTGCATTTTCCCTAGTTTTTCTCTTGTTGTTTCCATACTCACAGAAATCCTTACTTGTTGCCCTTCGCATCCCTTGCCAGATTAAACCGGATCCACCTTGGCTTTCCAAACCCTGTCCCTGCACAATCAGACAGCAACTCTATACTCCTCCTGGGTCACCTGCCCCTGCTTCTACCTCCTTATACACTTCCTTTTTAAGTCTGAATTCAGTTAGGAGCTCCTCGCTCACCCATGCAGGCCTCCTGCCACCTTTGCTGGATTTCCTACTTGTTGAGATGGACCTTTCTTGAGCTTGGAGGAGGTGATCCTTGAAAAGGGTGCTATGTCCCTTCCGTTACCATCATCCCAGACCCTTGGTTTGCCTACCCTATCCCCACCTTTTTTTACTTTTTTTTTTGAGGAATCACTCCCTCACCTGTGATTTCTAGTTTAAAGCTGTCCCTACCAGGTTGGCCAGCCTGTTGGCAAAGGTACTTTTGCCCTGTTTAGTCAGGTGGATCCCATCCCTTCCAAGCAGCTGTTGATGCTCGGAATGGGTCTCATGGTTGTAGAAACTGAAACCATGCTGCCAACACCAACTGTGCAAACAGCTGTTAACCCCAAAGATCCGTCAAGTCCCCCTCACCAGGAAGGCTGAGGAGAACATTACCTGGACCCCCATGCCTTTGACTGCTGTCCCTAGATCCCTGTAGTCATTGCTGATATTTCTTAGGTTACCCCTGCAGTACCACTGATGCCTACATGGAAGAGCAGCAGGAGTAATAGTTGGAGCCTCGGTAGCCTCTCTGTAACATCCTGAATGTGAGCTCCTGCCAAGCACCAAACCTCCCTAGATGACAAATCATATCGACAGGTGAGGAGCCTCTGTCCCCTGCCACAGGGAGTCTGCTACAACTATCAATTGCCACTGTCTTCTAATGGTCCTGAGTGGCTCAGGCTCAGCACCAGATGCTCCAGTTCATGGTGCTCCCAGCTCCTCATCAGCTACGAGGGCAGTGAACCTGGTCTGTAACTGGGGGTCCTCAGGGGGGCAGGACCCTGCCTCCTGGTGTGAGAAATCACCAGCTTTAAGATGGTGATAAATAAGTAAGGTATTTCTCAATACTAGGATGTGTTAGTGGGAGAAATGACTGCTTTGGGGAAATTAGTTTATTTAATTCTGCATTAATTAAGTGTTAAATAAGTTAAGAAAAAAAAATGCATAGGAATACAGTTCCTATTTCCATTGACAAGTTTTTCTAGGCTTAGGCTCATGAGAGAAGAGGCTGGCTCCAGCATAAAGATGTTCTCCTTGCAGATTGTTTATACTAAATCACTTCTAACATTTAATGGGGAAAAAAATAAGAGGGAAAAAAACCCCTGAACTATAGAGCTTGGTCACCTGTTTCTACTTACTGACTTGAGAGGTTTTTTGATGTCTTCTGAGGTGCTGAGTAGTGCACTCGAGCTTGTCAGCAACACTAAGGGATATGGGTGCAAGACGACCTAGCTGCCTTTCTCTTTTTGGCTTCTAGAACGCACAAGGTTTGAACTCGGTGATATGCCTACATACAGTTATCAGTGTAAAGCATTTTCTGCAAGTAGTGACAAATCTTTTTCATGCAGAGTTAAGTGACACAGTGGAATATAATCTTTGACTTGCAACAGCCTCACATCTTTTAAATCCTTTTCAGGCGAGTTTCTCTTTGATTTAGAACAGCAGACTGATCTAGTGCAATTTGTTATTTCAGTGCAAGCTGCCAACGATACGATCCATAGACTCCAAGAGAAGGAGCATGAAGAGAGGAAGGTAAAGGATGGATGGATAGATTTTTATAATGTGACCTAAGTAAGAGTCTTGTGCTTCTACAGCAAGTCTACATGCCTTCAGTATAGCACATATTTTTCTATACTTTATATACTTCCAGTAAAACTTCTTTTGGGGTGATTTCTGCACTTATAAAATGCAAACTGCAGTGGCACATATGTTATGTTCTAGGACTGCAAAGTTAACGGATCACTAGCTCTTCCTACAATCTCCTGATGTATGGAAACTGTTTTTTTTTATTTCCTTTGCTTTATTTTCCCTCCTAGCTCAGACTATAATATTTGTTACATACAGGAAAATCTTAAATGTAAAAAAAAAAAATTATTTTCTGTGGAACAAAAAACACCTACTAACCTACCAGAATGGAAATGTAAATCTTTCCCAGTTAGCTGAGAACATTGACTATATTATATATATTGCTTGTTGAAAAGGAAGTGTGTTTTTCACTTGTGGATAGGTTATTTAATGAAGGGCTATATTATAGGAACATGCGAATCATTGGAATCTTTTCAGTTGGCTACACTTTGCTCATTTGAAATACATGTGCTGTGAATCTAAAATTTGGAAAATTATACAAGAAATTAGTTTCATGTTTTCCCATTACTCCTTCATGATTGTGTTCCTGTGTTATCTTTTTACTTGCAAAATGTTAATAATTTAGTTTAGAAAAACTGAAAATGTTTCTGTGGCCATCACATAAAATAGGCTGCACATTGATTTATTTAAGCTGATGGTTATGTTTTTCTTTCCTTTTTGTAATCGATGAAGATGGGCAGTCCAGTTGCACTTGAATACTGGTACTGTGCAAACAGCACACTGCTGAACCCTGACAAAGTTTGCTTGTGTCTAACACTAGTGTAGATATTGGTAGAGAGCTTAAGTAGGAAATTATTACAGTTCTGCTACTGTTTGTTTGAAGTAAAACTTTAATAAAAAATTTTACAACTTACAAAATGAACAGTCACTTAATAAGAATGGTAACTATTCTTTTTTAAAATACTAGCTGTGTATTTCCACTCAATTTTTTTTTTTATGTGCAGTGGAGCAATACTAATAGCTATTCAGGATTTGTAGTCCTTCTTTAAGCTTGTATGGTAAGACTTTTTGGCTTGAAACTTTCCAAATGTGGATAGTAACAGGTAGACAACTTTTTAAAATTATAGATAAAAGGTGTCACTGTAGTTCAGCTACTTGAGGAGAAATTCTTTTTCCTTACTTTTCTTCTTGACATCATGTGTTCTGAAAAAAAAAAGGGGTTTTGGTAAGGTCTAGTGTCAAGTGATTCGTGTTAGCAGCCCTCAGTGAAATTAATTCCATTTCTGCTGAATAGAATGAATTTCAATATGATTTGCTTTACTAATTATCTTTTGCAGTTCCTTTCAGCTACTGCTATCAGCCAAGTAACAAAAGGCAAATGATCGTTTTCCCTGCCACATTCTCACTTAGGCTGTAAAGTAATTTGTGATTACAGGAGAGTCATTGAAAGAAGCATTCATGGAATCCCCTGTCTCGTTCAGTAGTCTTCCCATCTAGATCAGTAATATTTAGTTAGTAGTTCAAGCTGTGAATTACTTTAATCTTGTGGGAGAAGCTAGAGAAGACTTCAAGAAATTTTGTAAACCTGTTTTTGTGTACTATATTCTCATTTTTTTCTTTTAAATATTTTTATGTGGAAGGGTACAGGCTTACACTGGAAGCTACGTAACACTTCCCATTATGGTCTTACCTCTTAACTGCTTGTAGCATGAACTAGTATGGTAACATTTCTCAAAGCCTGTGCCTCCCTCAAATGGTGGCTTTTTTGGTTTCGGTTTTTTTGATGTGTTTTTGGTTTTTGTTTGTGTGTTTTAATTTCAGCAAAAATAGCCCAAGTAATACTAAAAACAAAGTTTATTGAAAAATTTGATGTTTTTACAAATGTTAATTTTTTGCATAATCAATGACAGTAAAACAAGGATAGAAATAAATACGACCACCTCATGTGAGTTAGTACTGTATACAAGAAGGCTTTACTATCTTTCAAGTTCAAGCAGTATGCGCTATTGAGTGAAAAAATGGTTTCATAATCAGATTAGATTTTTTCCAAATAACTAATGTCTGAACTTAGGTGTTGATATAAAAGAAATATGAAAGACATCACTGCCAAAATATGTAAATTTGCTAAGACACCAAAGGGAATTCCCAGAACAGGAATTAGTAAGGCAGCAACTATGTTTGTGTCGTGGTTTAACCCCAGTCAGCAACTAAGCACCACACAGCCGCTTGCTCATCCTCCTGGTCCTGGTGGGATAGGGGAGAGAATTGGAAAAAAAGAAAAGTAAAACCTGTGGGTTGAGATAAAGGCAGTTTAATAGGACAGCAGAGGAAGAGAAAATAATAATAATAATGATGATAAAAGAATATACAAAACAAGTGATGCACGATGCAGTTGCTCATCACCTGGTGACCGATGCCCAGCCAGTCCCCGAGCAGCCCCCCGGCCAACTTCCCCCAGCTTCTTGTGCACCTGGCAGAGCATGGGAAGCTAAAAAGTCCTTGCCTAGTATAAACACTACTTAACAACTAAAACATCAGCATGTTATCAACGTTATTCTCATACTAAATCCAAAACACAGCACTATGTCAGCTACTAGGAAGAAAATTAACAACTTGCTGTGGCTTGTGTTCTGTTGGGTGACTGAAGGAACTTCTAGCAGAACAGCTGAAATACTGTTTGGAGAAGAGGAATTTCTGAAAGAATGGATAACCAGCAATCAAAAACAGGACAAAGCTGTATCGGTGTGGTCTGGTGCTGGAAACCTTGAAGGAGGATAGAGCTGGAATTCTAAGAGTGTTTGGGGGTGAGGAGGTGATTCTCTGATTAAACAAACAAGCAAACAAATCTATCAAAATTTTGCAAAATTAACAGCAATGGAGAAATACCATTTGTACTTCCTTGTAGATCTTTTCAGGTGGGGTAAAAATGTTTCTTTTTTTTTTTTTCTGTGCAGTAGATGATAGTAAGTGCCAGTCAGTAACACAGATAGTAAAAGGCTAAAGCATAATATACTGTTGCTGACAGTTAAACAATCTTTTGGTTCAAATAGAAATCTACAGCATGGCGGGAAATGTTGGATTGTCTAATGCTTAAAACATTACAATTTATAGCTAATTGCAGAGATTCTCTTTTTTTTGTTTTGTTTTCATGTTATTGTACCAATACCATACAATATCATAAATTACCTAAGGCTTTCTCTTGGCTCAGGTACATCTGTCTGCATGCTTTAGTTCATATGGCAATTTTCCCGTGTTACAAAGGTCATGAGGTTTTACCTAAGAACAAAATATGTAGTTCTGAAGCCTGAAAGTGGTATCATAATATTGGCTTCTGTCTTGTTACCATGCTCTGGTGTATTTATACAATTAAATACCAAAGCAATTTCATTAACACGTCTTGACTGGAAGAGGAGAACAATAGAACTTTATTTGTTTTCTGAGATGGCTATGCTGGGCTTATTAGGTGCTGTTTTCTAATTTATAATTAAGTCTCACTTAAGTCTGACAGGAAGAACTTGTGTTCCTTCTGTTTGGTTGGTTGGGTTTTTTACTTGTAAGTTTAGACTTTAGTTATTTTACAAATTTTTGTTTGTTTAACAGTCATTTTAAATGACAAAAGGTAAGAATTAAAATTAGGCTATACTCTGAAAATCTGTTCTGTGAAAGTATACTGATTTTCATGTTTGTATGTGCTGTTCTTTGAGATATTTTGTTTGTTTACAAGTTACAGTTTCTCCAGTTGGCAGCCCTGGAATCGAAAGAATGAAACCTAAAATTCAAGGTGTCTGTTTCTGGGTTTTGAGTCATTACCAGCAATCCAAAATTTGTAACTGGAAGTTTTCAGCAATCTGGAAGTTCTGTAAATCTTTATTTCATTTTAATTGTTTGCTGACTGTGCATGGGTCAGAATTTATTTAAATTTATCTTTTAGATAGTTGGGTTGGTCTTGCAAAGTTAGAAATTTAATCAAAATTAAGACTGAATTACTATTCTTTCAATTTTTTTTTTTTTAAAGGAGAAAAAGGGATTACTTTCACATGCAACTGTACCTGCTTTTTCAAACATGCAGGCATTACTTCCTTCTTTACGACAGTAAAAAATATGAATATTAGCAGATCAGAACTTATTTATTACTACTGCAAGTGCTTTCTGGACTTCAGAAAAAAACATTCTTCTACTTTCCTGAAACATGAATGTGTATTTAATCAGAATGTATATTATATTTTTGTGTTCTGCGATAAGACAGAAGTGCTTCCTAACTGAGCATAAGTGTGCAAAGGCAATTTCAAGTTCTTAGAATCAGAATCATTTAGGTTGGAAAAGACCTTTAAGATCACCATGTCCAACCATTAACCTAGCACTGCCAAGTCCACCACTAAACCATGACCCTAAGCACCACATCTGTACTTTTTTTGAACACCTCCAGCAATGGGGACTCAACCACTTCCCTGGGCAGCCTGTTCCAGTGCTTGAAGACCCTTTCAGTGAAGAAATTTTTCTTATTCCAGTGCTTGACAACCTTTTCAGTGAAGAAATACTTCTTAACGTCCAGTCTAAACCTCCCCTGGTGCAACTTCAGGCCATTTCCTCTTGTCTGCTTGTTACTTGGGAGAAGAGACCGACACCCACCTCACTACAACCTCCTTTTGTGTAGTTGTAGAGAGCGATAAGGTCTCCCCTCAGCCTCCTTTTCTCCAGGCTAAACAACCATAGTTCTGTCAGCTGCTCCTCATAAGACTTGTGCTCTGGACCCTTCACCAGCTTCGTTGCCCTTCCCTGGACACGCTCCAGCACCTCAATGTCTTTCTTGTATTGAGGGGCCCAAAACTGAACACAGTATTCAAGGTGCAGCCTCGCCAGTGCTGAGTACACTGGTGGATGATCACTTCCCTGCTTCTGCTGGCTACAGTTGTTCTGATACAAGCCAGGATGCTGTTGGCATTCTT